CAGCAATCAGGGCAGAAAAAGAAGTAAATGGAATCCAGATAGGAAAAGAAGAAGTGAAACTCTCGCTGTTTGCAGATGACATGATCCTCTACATAGAAAACCCTAAAGATTCTACCAGAAAATTACTAGAGCTAATCAACGAATACAGTAAAGTTGCAGGATATAAAGTTAACACACAGAAATCTCTTGCATTCCTATACACTAACAATGAGAAAACAGAAAGAGAAATTAAGGAAACAATACCATTCACCATTGCAACAAAAAGAATAAAATACTTAGGAGTATATCTACCTAAAGAAACAAAAGACCTATACATAGAAAACTATAAAACACTGATGAAAGAAATCAAAGAGGACACAAACAGATGGAGAAATATACCGTGTTCATGGATTGGAAGAATCAATATTGTCAAAATGGCTATACTACCCAAAGCAATCTATAGATTCAATGCAATTCCTATCAAACTACCAACGGTATTTTTCACAGAACTAGAATGAATAATTTCACAATTTGTATGGAAATACAAAAAACCTCGAATAGCCAAAGTAATCCTGAGAAAGAAGAATGGAACTGGAGGAATCAATCTGCCTGACTTCAGACTATACTACAAAGCCACAGTCATCAAGACAGTATGGTACTGGCACAAAGACAGAAATATAGATCAATGGAACAGAATAGAAAGCCCAGAGATAAATCCACGAACCTATGGTCACCTTATCTTTGACAAAGGAGGCAAGGATATACAATGGAAAAAAGACAACCTCTTTAACAAGTGGTGCTGGGAAAACTGGTCAACCACCTGTAAAAGAATGAAACTAGAACACTTTCTAACACCATACACAAAAATAAACTCAAAATGGATTAAAGATCTAAATGTAAGACCAGAAACTATAAAACTAGAGGAGAACATAGGCAAAATACTCTCCGACATAAATCACAGCAGGATCCTCTATGACCCACATCCCAGAATTTTAGAAATAAAAGCAAAAATAAACAAATGGGACCTAATGAAACTTAAAAGCTTTTGCACAACAAAGGAAACTATAAGCAAGGTGAAAAGACAGCCCTCAGATTGGGAGAAAATAATAGCAAATGAAGCAACAGACAAAGGATTAATCTCAAAAATATACAAGCAACTCCTCCAGCTCAACTCCAGAAAAATAAATGACCCAATCAAAAAATGGGCCAAAGAACTGAACAGACATTTCTCCAAGGAAGACGTACAGATGGCTAACAAACACATGAAAAGATGCTCAACATCACTCATTATCAGAGAAATGCAAATCAAAACCACAATGAGGTACCATTACACACCAGTCAGGATGGCTGCTATCCAAAAGTCTACAAGCAATAAATGCTGGAGAGGGTGTGGAGAAAAGGGAACCCTCTTACACTGTTGGTGGGAATGCAAATTAGTACAGCCACTATGGAAAACAGTATGGAGATTTCTTAAAAAGCTGGAAATAGAATTGCCATATGACCCAGCAATCCCACTTCTGGGCATACACACCGAGGAAACCAGATCTGAAAGAGACACGTGCACCCCAATGTTCATCGCAGCACTGTTTATAATAGCCAGGACATGGAAGCAACCTAGATGCCCATCAGCAGACGAATGGATGAGGAAGCTGTGGTACATATACACCATGGAATATTACTCAGCCATTAAAAAGAATTCATTTGAATCAGTTCTAATGAGATGGATGAAACTGGAGCCCATTATACAGAGCGAAGTAAGCCAGAAAGATAAAGACCATTACAGTATACTAACACATATATATGGAATTTAGAAAGATGGTAACGATAACCCTATATGCAAAACAGAAAAAGAGACTCCGATGTATAGAACAGACTTGTGGACTCTGGGAGAAGGCGAGGGTGGGATGTTTCAAGAGAACAGCATTGAAACACGTATATTATCTAGGGTGAAACAGATCACCAGCCCAGGTTGGGTGCATGAGACAAGTGCTCGGGCCTGGTGCACTGGGAAGACCCAGAGGGATCGGGTGGAGAGGGAGGTGGGAGGGGGGACCGGGATGGGGAATACATGTAAATCCATGGCTAATTCATTTCAATGTATGACAAAAACCACTGCAATGATGTAAAGTAATTAGCCTCCAACTAATAAAAATAAATGAAAAAAAAAATTCATAGCGGTTAGGTTACTAGGCAACTAAAATATTATTGAATTAAGTGAAATAATTAACTAATTAATTGAAGCATTACCTTTAAATGGCATTTGTTGTCTCATGAAATGGTAGACTGTATGTTTAAATGTGTGAACTTAATTAATAAATATGAAATGTAGTTGAAAAAAAAAAAAAAAACTTGCAGTGACCAAACAGTAAAGATGGAGGGGAGTGATAAACTAGAAATGTTTGGGACTAACATATATATGGTACTACATATTAAATAGTCAACAAGGCCCTACTGTACAGCCCAGGAAACTCTATTCAGTATTCTGTAATAACCTCTATGGGAAAAAACTCTGAAAAAAATGTACATATGTATATAACTGAATCATTTTGCTGTACACCTTGAAACATAACATTGTAAATCAACTTTACTATAAAAACTAAAAAATCCTGATCCCCAAATTGCTCTCCACATCAAATCAAACCAGAGTCAGCATCAACATGTCTTAAAGCAATGCTTCTCCAACTTTAGTATATTTGCACATTTCCTGGGGATCTTGTTAAAAAGCAGGCCTGGTATTTCTAGCAAGCTCTCAGGTGATGTTAGTGCCGTTGGTACCTGAGCCACACTTTGGAGAACGTGGGTGTTACAGCACTCCAGGTGATTCTAGTGTGCAGCCAAAGGAGAAAATGACTCAGTTCTAGAGACTCTCCACTCATCCACTCAGTCCAACACTGCCCCATCCAGGCAGTCAAGGAAATATGAATTTACTCTCGAATTGACTAAGTCAAACAGAGTTAGGGAAGGAAACTATTGCCTCTCCAAACCATGCATTTATATAAAAAGAAACAAGTGTAGTGAGTTTTACATGCTTCAGAGTTCTAGCATGATTATCTGTGCTAATACCCTGCTCTTCTTAGTGCAAGGGGGATGGCGCCTCCTCTGTGCTGTGGAGTGAGAAGGGTAGGTTTGAGTCTCGGCTCCTACTGGACAGACCATGTGATCTCTCTGACTGAGAATTGTGAGAATCAAAGTACATAAGTGAGAATGCCCTTCGACATTGCAGAATGCTGTGTAAATATAATGGCTTATATCAGCAGTTCTCAGACTTAGGTGCCTACTGGAAGCGAACACCTGGAGAGTCTTTAAATGCTTGTGTCCTTGACCTAGAAATTCTACTTTAAGTGGTCTGGGTAAAGCCTGGGTAATGAGAGGCTTAAAAGCTCCCAGGTGATGCTAATGTCAGTCATGTTTGAGATCTAGGGAGTTTGACTCTACATTTTCCCGAGAGGGCTCCAGCCCACAGTTTCAGCGCCACTCAGGTAGCACTTAGGTTTAGACATCACAAGCTAGGGCTTGACTGAATCCACTCTGTGGGACCGATTCTTCCAGTGTATCTTGTTTCCTGTAAAGAACGTAGTTTGTGTGTTGCCCCACAGACCCAGGAGACAATGTCTACCCGCTAACCTGGGCCTTGTTCACCTGTCTTGCTTCCTGGCTAGAACCAAAGCAGTGAATACATTTAGCCCAAGCTGCTATCGCTACCAAAGACCTAAGATCCCCTGCAGAGGATCCTTCAAAGAAGGACCTGCAGCGAAGGCCTTCAAAGAGAGACAGGCTGTGGTGCCAGTGCAACTTCCTTGCTGGACCTGTGGAGACCCCGCTTCCTCAGTGCTGCCCACAGGAGTGGGACAGCTGACACTTGGGCCATGGCACTGGGGGGATGCTAGGAGCTCGCAGGTACACTGCTCCCCGTTGCTCCCCTAAGGGGCTGTTGCAGAAAGCAGAGGCTGAATTTTTTCTGCCTCTCTGGAGATGCTGGAGCAGGGAGCTGCCCAGAACCTGAGTCTGCAGCTCATTAGCTACTTGCCTCTCGAATCTCTCTCCTCCTCTCCTGCTTCAGTTTCCCTGGACCCTCACTTCTGCTTCTGGGACTGAAACCCCTCCCACAGCAGTGCAGATGCACAAGCTTTAGCCTCAGGCTCTGTTTTCTAGGGAACCTGGACTAAGACATTTCTTGAGTGGAATGTAATATTCTTGAGGACCAAGAACATAAAGATTCTCCCCATGAAGTCATCAGCTATCTCTGTTTAATATCTTTCTTAAGTTGTATGAAATATGTGATTTCACTTACATAGAATTATATGCAGATGGTAAAAGACTGGTAGGGAAATATGCCAAAATATTAATAGTGGTAACGTTAAGGTGATGAAACTATGAGTGATTTATTTCTCAAATTTTCTCTAAGTTATTGTATTTATAATAAAAGTATCAACATATAGAAAATTAGCTCAAATTAAAGTTTTTTTTGGCTCAAAAAGTAGCTGACCCATCACATGGTAGAATAGATGGACTTTTAGAAAACCTTTTTTTTTTTTTTTTAAGTTTCAGACCATTGCTTAACATAGACCCCAAGTACAAATGCATGACAAATATCTGATGGAATGGTAAAGAAATGAGGCCCTGAGAAAGGAAACCAGGGGTCAGAAGGGGTTTGGAGGAAAGAAATCTTTCACACTAGGGGAGAAGGAGATCCTCCAGCTGAGAATGTCCTCAGCCTGTCCCTTTAAGAGAAGCCAAATGGGAGAAATGCTCCAGTAATCAGAACTTTTAGGAAAAAGTCAAAGGGGGTTTTTAGCTCTAAAATCTCTGAACCCCACTGAGAAGAGGGATTTGGACTTCAAAATAACTTACAGTGATTCCATAAAAAGGAAATTTGTAGTCACAATGGGATAAGAATAGGGTGAATTTGGCCAACAGTGATTAAAGACAAGAGACAAAGAGTCTAAAGTGTGTCTTTTAAACCCTGTATCCATTAGGACCCTCAAGAGAGTCCAAGAATCATGAAAAATGGGGGAACCAACCACAAAATCACGGCGTTGCCAAGTGCGCCCACTGCCAGGTCAACGAGTCCGTCTTCATCGAGGTCCAGTTGCCCGTGAATGCTGCAGCCAAAATACTGGAGGCCAGGAGCCAGCTCTGAGGCTGTGATTCTCTGTAGGAAGTGGAAGGAAAGAGCTGGGTGTCGGCACCCTAAGGAGTAGATACAACTGGGAGCCCTGGAGACAGCCTGTTTGAAACTATCAGGAAACGTCCTCAGCCCAAAGCTATCACCTCTCCTCGTCTGTTTTGGAACCTGAAATTTCTACCATTAAGTCATCCTTTTGGATTAAAATAATGTGTCTTAAAAGGGTTCTCCACTGAAGAAGGAAAGGGGGGAAAGATGGGGTAGGAGATAAGAAATACAAACTATTATGTATAAAGTAAATAAGATATGAATATATACAATACAGGGGATCTAGCCAATGTTTTATAATAACTATACATGGAATATAACCTTTAAAAATTGTGAACCACTCTGATGTACATCTGTAACATGTAATATTGTACATCAACTATTTAAGAAAAGAATTCCCCATAGGATGTAAGTACACGTTACATGGCAGGTAACCCATCACTATCTCTAAGTGTGGTGTATTAGGCTATCTTACTAATAAAATAGGCAAAAGTGATGAGCCTTGAGGGGAAGGCGCTTGGGATGGCTCACTCTTGGGGACAGCACTGTTTCTAGCCTGAGGCATTTCCAGAGAGGAGGAGCCCAAATAGGCCTTCCCCATTCATTTGTTCAGCTGTGTCCGACTCTTTGCAATCCCATGGACTGTAGCCCTCCTGGTTCCTCTGTCCATGGGACTTCCCAGGCAAGAATACTGGAGTGGGGTGCCATTTCCTTCTCCAGGGGATCTTCCCGGACCAGGAAATGAACCAGCATCTCCTGTGTTGGGAGGCAGGTTCTCTACCACTGAGCCGTTAGGTCTTCCCCACATGTAGTCAGTTGCATGAAAGCATGTGAAGGCCAGTGGGATTCAGGTCCTTGGGGGGAGTTTGTTATTGCTGTTGTTGGGGAGATGAAGTTAAACAGGGAGAAGGTATCTACAGGGGTGATGGGAAGGTCTTAAGACTAATTTCAACTTGTGGCAAGTAGAGCTAGGACAGATAACAATCCTTTCCTGGGTGAGGACAGGGCATGAGCTACTAGGACTCCAAGTTCTAGCTCCATTCATTTTGGGGGTTGGGGTGGGGGGCACTACCTGCTTCGGTGTCTTCAGGATGCTGCCTTGGAAGCCATGGTAGATGTAGATGACACCCCCGTGGTTGTCTTCCAGAGGGGCTCCCACCACCACATCGTTGTAGGAATCTTGATTGAGGTCCCGAACGGAGGCGATGGAGGAGCCGAATCGGGCGTTCTGGTAACCATGGGAATCCTTCAACGTTCCATTGTAAACAAACAGGTCCTGCAAAATCAGGGGCAGGAAAAGGCTTGGGGGGACTTGGCAAGGTCTCTCAGGGTCATGACCCACTCTGGCCTGCACCATCCCTTCTGTGTGTCCCTGTTTCTTTCCCGCTACATAAACCCAAGGACAGAGGGTCTGCAGGCATGCGCTGGCCTCCTCTTCCCAGTTTCCCTCATGGACACCCGATCAAGGCATGGGTCAGGTGTCCCTGGAAAGCTGGCCAGCATCCGCGCGCCGTACCTGTCTCAGGTTATAGACGTACACCCTGCCCCGCTCTCCGCCCTCGCTGAAGTACATGGGCGCGCCCACCAGCAGGACATCAGTCACACCGTCTTCATCCACGTCCGCCGAGGTGATCTCGCTCCCATAGTAGGAACCTATCTGCGGCACAGGGGTGGGGGAGGGCCATGGGGCTGGGCTGCTGAGAGGCCTCCCCCCACCAGTGGACAGCCTTGACTCAGACCCTGCTGAAAAAATGAGCGCCGCCCCCCCCACCAACCCTTTTCTCCTTAACCATTCCGCCACCACCTGACTCTCCATTATTTAACTTTTGTTGTTCAGTTGCTAAGTCCTGTCTGACTCTTTGGGACCCCCATGGACTGCAGCACACCAGGCTTCCCCACCCTTCACTGTCTCCTGGAGTTTGCTCAAACTCATGTCCATTGAGTCAGGGATGCCATCCAACCATCTCATCCTCTTGCACCCTTCTCCTCTTGCCCTCAATCTTTCCCAGCATCAGAATCTTTTTCAATGAGTCGGCTCTTTGCATCAGGTGGCCAAAGTATTGGAGCTTCAGCATCAGTCCTTCCAATGAATATTCAGGTTTGATTTCCTTTAGGATTGATTGGTTTGATCTCCTTGCTGTCCAAGGGACTCTCGAGAGTCTTCTCTGGCACCACAGTTCGAAAGCATCAATTCTTTGGCACTCAGCCTTCCTTATGCTCCAGCTGTCACATCCACACATGACTACTGGACAAGCCATAGCTTTGACTATATGGTATAGCACTCCAAATTATGCACGTGCCAAACATGTTTAATCAGTCCTCTGTTGGACATTTAACTCATTTTCAATATTTGATTTTCCAAATAACTCTGGGCTTAGCACCTTGGGTGGTGACTTGTGGTTTTTTCTCACTATTTGAGCGCTTAAGGTGTTCCTCTCTCGCCTTGGGTGCCATGCTCCCAACTCAGAAACCTAAGGGTCCTCCTGGCTCCACTCCCATCTCTCCCACTTGCAGTCTCCCCACAAGTCCTCTTGGTGGATGCCAAACATGTCCCCAATCCATCTACTTCCCTCCTCCTCCGATGCTTCTTCCTCAGGTGAGGCACCCTCCGAAGGACACCCCCATCTCCAGAATGGCCCTCCAGCGCAGCCCTGTGGGGAGCTAGAGTGGCTTCCAGAAGCTGACCATGCCCCTTCCTTGCTTTGGAGGGGGAATGTCCAAACTCTGCAGTGTGACCCTCCTGGACTGGCCTCCCTGCCTCCCCAGCCTCTGTCTCCCACCCTCTGGCTCCCACATTCCCCCGGACATACTAAGTGATTTCTCTTCTCCAAAAGCCCCCTGCTCTGGCGGGCTTCCCAGCTTCCCCTGTACATACTTCTCTGTAGCCTGTACCCTTTTCTCCTCCCCTCTCTCCAGGTCATGTCTATCGTCCTACAGGTCACTTCCTGTTCAAAGACACCCCTGGCCTTCCCCACTCCATCCCCTGCCGTGGGGGCCCCTTCTCCGTGCTCTCCCGCAGCCCTGTCCTCTTCCCCCCAGCACTGGTTCCCTCCACAGATGCCCCCAACAGTGGGCACTGCTCCTGTCTCACTCCCTCCAGGCCTGGGTGCTGTGCCTGGCATGCAGGAGGTGCTCTGTAAGTGTTTATAGGAGCAAGGGGTTGCTCAGGAAAGAAAAGGAGCCCTTCCCAAGGACAGGTCCCATGTGAGGCACTTTACAGCCTCATGCTATCTTGGGAGAGATCATTGTCCTTATTTCACAGGGAAGGAACTGAAGCTCAGAGAATTTTAGTCTCTAGCCCAAGGTCAGAAGGCCAGTCACAACCAAATTGGGTTGGAACTCTGATCCATCTGACATCCAAGCCCATGATTCTCCCTTCCTGGCTTGGGGTGTTTTCAGAAGAAATTTATCCTCAAGCATTAAAATCTTTTAACTCAGGAGAATGATAAAAAAAAAATACAGAAGAGGGAAAAAGGAAATTATAAACACAGTGTGGGGAGGGGAGAGATGTGCCTACGTGAAGTGATTAAGAGGCAGACAGCAAAGAGGGAGGCGGAGGGAAGTCTGTCTAAACATGTGGCCTCCGCTCTATGGGTCATGGTGATTTGGAATCCACTTAACTTAGCTGCCTTCAGTGCTGCGGTTTCTCGTTTGGATGTTGGAGGCAGATCCAGGCAGTAAAAATGTCATATATTCTTCGGCGAATTCCCTCCGGCTCTCAAGGTCTAACCTTGGATTCCTGAGAGCTGGCCACGGGTGGGGTGTGGGTAGGGAATGTGGAGGCTGGGACCAGAGCAGCGCCTAGAGCCCCCAGTGCACTTGGGATGGGAAGAGGAATAGTGGAAGGATGGCTCCCTGCAGCTAGAGGGATGGAGGTTAGACCTGGCAAAGAGCATGTCTTCATGGCCAAGGGCAGTAGAAGAGGCAGGAAACAGGGCTGTTCCCAGACTCTAGAGCACCAGGGGCAAGCCAAAAATAACAGGAAGGACCTGGACAGGGCTCAGCTCAGCGCAGGGTGCCATGGATACTGGATGCTGCCAGGCAGGAGGGGCCAAGGCCTTGTGTGGGGGTTGTTGGGGTCAGGAGGTAGCACAATTTAGGCAGCCCCACCGAGTCCAGGATACTGAGCTTTACCCAGGGAATCTACCCAATAACCTTGGAAAAGCTGTGTTTCTTCTCAGTACAACGGTTTTCCTGGGCTACTGGAATGACCTGTATCAGAACCCTGTTTCCTGATCTTTTCACCATCATTGACTTTAATCATAGCTTTCCTCTGTGCATTCAAGACCTTCTAACATGAGACTCTTAGCAGCACAGCCTAGTTGCCCACCACGTCTTGGGGGGTGCTGTGACATTGGCGGTTGTACTGTTCTGCATCGTGCCCATTCCAGGGAGGGAAAGAAGTTGGCATCTTGGTGAACCCCTAAGGCCTTGCTGTGGGCGGAGGCACGACTCCTCCCACTTCTGGGAGCACTGAGGTGGCATGAGGAACACGAGTGCCCCTTCAGATGCCTAGGTGCCTTGTCAGCCCAAGCTGGGAAGTCATAGCCTGGATGTTGCCTCTGCCAGAGCGAGCCCTGAACTCTAGACATGACCAGAGAGATGCTGGTGGTCAGGGGCAGAAGTCTGGCTAGTGCACCAGAGTCAAGGGCTCCATGAGTTCTCCCAGGTTCTCGTTGCTGCAGCAGGGTCTGAGATCTGGCTTTCTGGGGAGGGAGCATCAGCTCCCAGGTGGGTATAAAGAAGGCATACACCCCCTACAATATTGTAAAGTAATTGGCCTCCAACTAATAAAAATAAATGAAAAAAAAATTAAAAATTAAAAAAAAAAAAGAAGGCATAGATCCCTAGCCAGGAAGGATGCTTGTGGGTCTGGGGACAGTCCTGTGAGGGACAAGCTGAGCTGCAGTCCCTCCCAGCCTCGCCATCCCGTCTGTCCCACCTGTCGGCCCCGCCCCCAGCCCCCTCTGCCTTACCTGCTCGCCCTGCAGGGCCTGGTGGATGGTGAGGCTCCGGTTGTTGTGCATAGTGAACAGGATGACTTTGCCTGTGTGGTTGAACCGGGGGGCTCCAGCCACGTACACCCGCCCCTGCCTGGAGGACACGACCGATGTGACTGTGTACCCTGCCGTGGGAGGAAACAGGCTGGTTTCCGGCCCCGCGGCCTGGCAGACCTCACCAGGGCCTGGCGGCATGGATGGGCCGCTGCAAGAGGGGCATTCAGAGCAGGCTGAGCAGATGGTAGTTCTAGACAGTAGTTCCCAGGCTCAGCTGAGGAGGCCTGGAAGAGGCAGGGCTTGGAACGGGCTGGTGGACGGTGCAGGGAACTCACTGCACCCACCCTCTGCTGGAGGGCATCGAAAGAAGCCAGGTGGGGTCACTGAAAGGCATTGCTGCCTGGAACATGCACATCACCTGCTTCACTTGCCCTACAGGTGAGCATGTGAAGCAACAGGGAAGCGAGAGAACAAACCCTAGCCACACTTCTTTTTATATTGGGCAGGCTTTGTTTCTGATCTCCACCAGTAGTCTCTCTGGGGACCAAGCACCAGAATGCCGTGCTAAGTGGTCCACCAAAAAATGAAGGGTTGGCTGTGCAGAGGCAAGGAGCTGCTCTGCTCAGGGCATGGAGGTGGGGGGTCGCAGGGATTCCTGCAGCCCCAAAGCAGGGAGTGCCCAGGCTTCTCTGCATCCACACACGTATGCCACTCAGAAGAGAACAAGACGGAAACCTGGGGCTCTTTGGGGAAGGCCTCCAATCCACGTTCTCGGGATCTGTGCCTGGTCCCTGTGAGTTTCCAGTGGAGCACCCAGCTCTGGGGAGTGACTGTGCAGCGTCTTCAGACAACTCTCCTGAAAATGGGACTCTTGCAGGTATGCAAAGCCAAGAGTCCTACTTCCTGCCAGATGATTTGGAGAATGGATCCCAGTTTTTAGATGGGTGTCAGGCCTTGCTGGCAATTCCTGGGTGCTTTCTGGGGAATGAGCGGCTTCTTCTGCTGTGTGTGCATGCCTGTGTGCACGCCTGTATATATGTGGGTAACTGTCTCTCGGGTCTCACCAGTTGCTTTCAGAGTGGCTGCGGGATGCACAGAAGCCAACCCACAGTGGTTGGGAGTGTGGGTGCTGTAGGGTGGGAAACTCTGGTTCTAGATACACCTTCTTTGACTCTTGGAAAGGTATTCTGGGAAGTGGAGTAGGTGAGAGCAGGATATCGCATGGAGGGTGGCTAACAGGGCTGTGTATTCAGAGCAATCACAAAAATACAAGGGTAGAGCAGGCTTAGCCTTGTGCGGTGGAGCAAGGGTTTCTTCTAAGCTGAGCCCTTAGCAGCATTACTGAGAGTATTCTCATTGACCCCAGGCATTTGGGCTTCCCTGGAAGGAAGGGACCATGATAATGGGAGGGTCCTGGGGGCTGAATGTCCTGGGGGCAGGCAAGGGCCGACTCTCAAAGCTCTAAGCAGTGCTGAGAGCTTCCTGCTTCCCTGCTGTCTGCTGGCTGTGGTTGCAGTTCCCATGTGGCTCTCTGACCAGCGGGCAAGGCCACCCTGAAAGCTAGAGAGCCTCCCTGAAGGCCTGGGGCTGGAAGTCCATCAGCTTCCCCAGTGTGGAGGCGGAGAGCCTGGCCTCCCAGTCTCCTTCCCCAAACTCCCCATCTCCCTTGGGGCACAGAGGGAGGAATCTTCCAGAGATCCCCCACAGTGCCCTCACTGGATGAACCCCCAGAGAGAGGAGCAGAAAGGCTCTCCCTCCGGATTCCCACCCAAGGAGGGACCATGGTTGGGCCTCATGAAGGGTCTTCTGGGAGGAGGAACGACCTTCCCACCACGGAGAGGCCCACTGCCAACTTAGTTCACGGAGAAGTGGGGTCTGAGGCTGCACTGGTGATAATTTCACAGCTGGTAGACTCGGTTCAGAAACTCAGAAAGACTTACAATGGGAGCCCTTCTCCTTTCCCTGGTTCAGCCCTTTCTGCATGAATGGCAGAGGCTCCCTCTTACAAAGCTGGAGGTGACTGGGCTATGGTTAAGGTCTCACAGCTGGGACCTGTCACCATCAGGTCAATGACTCACACTTTTCTTTTTACGACCACCTTAAGGTGAGCTTCCTTTGTGGCTCAGCTGGTAAAGAATCCACCTGCAATGCAGGAGACTTGGGTTCGATCCTGGGTTGGGAAGATCCCCTGGAGAAGGGAAAGGCTATCCACTCCAGTATCCCACTCCAGTATTCTGGCCTGGAGAATTCCATGGACTATATAGTCCATGGGGTTGCAAAGAGTTGGACAGGACTGAGCGACTTTCATTCACACTAAGGTGCTTAATGGGAGATGACATCTGCCTTGATTGTAACGCAAAGATTCGGACCTGACTGAGTGACTGAACTGAATTGAGCACATCCTCAACTTGCATTTTTGCCTTGGGGAGGCAGACTTCCTGCACTCAATTCTGAAAACATACCAACAGCTGCCGGAGAGTCTAGAGGCATGAATGGAAACAATTTCAGGTCAGACGGCTTGTCATTTACTCTGGCAGCCTGCAATCTTTTTGGCACCAGGCACTGGTTTTGTGAAAGACAATTTTTCCATGGATGGGGGTGGTGGGGGAGATGGGGAGTGGCAGATGAAGCTTCGCTCCCTTTCTCACCTCCTGCTTCATGGCCCGGTCCATGGCCTGGCCTGGGGACCCTGGTTTATTCTACTAATGGAGAGCCCATGATGAGCCAGGCATGGTGCTGGGTGTGCTGGATGCCAGCCTGGAGAGGCAGTGACTCCTAACTGTGCTTGAATCAGCACAGAATATGCTGACAAGCCCCTCCTCTCGTTTTTGAGCATGTTCTGGACCCCCAAGTCCTCTCCTGGCCCACCGCCTGCCAGCCACCCCTCAGCCCTGCCTCTTACCCAGGTAGGCGCCGTGGTTCTTGAGCTCCTCGGGGAATTCCTTCAGGTAAGACTCACGGAGAGGAATGACCTTCCCACTGCTGGTCTCCTTCAGCACAGCTCCGTTCCAGTCATAAGCACCCACGGCTCCCAGCAGAATCCCGTCCTGACATCGGGGAGGGGGTGCACATCAGCTCATGTCTTCCGGGATGCCCCTGGCTGGGAAGCTGCCCCACATCCACACCATGAAGCATCCACCTACCGCCTCTGGCACCTCCTGCCCAGTTTGTTAATAGCCCAACTTCCAGCCAGGATTCTTGGCTTTAACAGGAGCTGAGGGCTTTCTTGCCCCATTCCATTCTTAGGATAAAATGGGTCAAGCTGATCCCAAGGATGGAATCTTAGGAAAGAAGGAATGTTCTAGAAACAAGCTCCAAATTCAGGACCAAGGTTGCATTCCATTCTGGGCTTCAGAACCTCTCTAGCAAATCCCTTGTCGCCATCCCTTCCTTCTGACACTCCTTTAAGTGATGAAAGTGAAAGATGCTCATGCATGTCCGACTCTCTGCGACCCCGTGGACTGTATAGTCCATGGAATTCTCCAGGCCAGAATACTGGAGTGGGTAGCCTTTCCCTTCTCCAGGGGATCATCCCAACCCAGGGATGGAACCTAGATCTCCCACATTGCAGGCAGATTCTTTCCCAGCTGACCACCAGGGAAGCCCCCTTCAAGTGGTGGCAGTATGCTCTTCTGGGGCTTCCCAGGTGGCTCCAGTGTAAGGAACACACCTGCCAATGCAGGAAATGTAACAGACGCGGGTTTGATCCCTGGGTTGAGAAGATCCACTGGAGGAAGAAATGGCAAATCCACTCCAGTATTCTTGCCTGGAGCATTCCATGGCTAGAGGAGCCCGGCAAGCTAGAGTCCACGGGGTGGCACAGAGTTGGACACGACTGAAGCGACTTAGCATGCACACAAGCCGTGTTTTTCCTCCTTCCTTCGCAGCATCTGAGTTGCTTTCCTGTGTGTAAACGCTACTTCTTCATTCTTCAGTACAAATTCACTGTGTGTCTGTCTTATGTCAGACACTTGCTTAGCGCTGGGGATGCTATCCCTGCCCCCACAGAGCTCACAGACACTAAAGACATACCCAAATAAACAGAATACCTGCAAACTGTGATAACTGCCACACAATGAGGGCTGTGATAAATCCTGGGGTGAGATTGAATTTAGATTGAGATGGGGCTCAGGAAAAGCATTTTGAGCAAGTGATGCTCGCCCAGACACCTGGGGAGATGAAATAATTTGTGCAAAGGCGCTGAGGCTGGAGACAGTTCAGAGCCTTTGGCTTCAAGGAACTGAAAGCTGTTCGATGGGGCTGGAGCCCCGAGTGAGAGGAGCAGGATGGTTCAGCATGAGGCTAGAAAGGCAAGCCAGGGCCATGTTTGTGGCGCCGGCACCTCAGGGACAGGAGATTGTCTTTAATTACAGGGTAAGCAGATGCCCCGATGCCTAGGCAGGAAGATGGGAGCTCTAGCTCCCTGAGGGGAAGCCTCCAGGGTCATTTCTGAGGACTGGACTGGGTCTATTCACTCTCTGGGCTGCCCCTGAGCTTTATATCCACCCCAACCACGCACATACCTCGTGGACACAGGAAGATGAACAGTGATGACTCGGAAGAGGGAGAGAAGTGACTAGGGACAATGAGGGGCTGAGGAGGGGGGTGGAGGCAGGGGGGCCCCTTCCTGGGTCACCTTGGTGATCACCAGTCAAGGGCACCCAGTTTTGCCTCCCAGTTTTGGAATGTTAAAGCACAAGCTGGTGAAGTCATCTCTCTCCCACTAAGCCCTCCTTCAACCCAGCTGGTGGGTGGAATTTGAGGTTTCCCCACCATTGGTGCCCAGAGGACTGAATTTCTCTTTCCCTGGTGGCTCAGTTGGTAAAGAATCTGCCTGCAAGGCTGGAGACCCAGGTTCAGTCCCTCAGTGGGAAAGATCCCTTGGAGAAGGACATGGCTACCAACTCCAGTATTCTTGCCTGGAAAATCCCATGTACAGAGGAGCCTGGTGGGCTATGGTCCATGGGGTCGCAAAGAGAAAGACACGACCAAGCGACTACACCACCACCACCAAAAACAAGGACCAATAGAAAAATGTGACTCTGGCCTGGGGACAACAGAGCCATAACTAAACATACAGGCAGAGGCCTCAGCACTGATTTCATTACTGGTGGTGGAGGAGGCAAGATTGGGAACTGTAATAAGTTCCTTTTCTCATTTCCAAGGTTTCACTTTCAAGATGATCATATATAAGGATTAAAGTCCTAATATTTTAGAGGCTGGACTGACTGTTCCGACAGGATGTTTTTACAGCTATAAATAAGCTGCTCTTAGGTGAGTCTGATGTGCTTGGCTATGTTTAATGTCGCGTTTTCTCATTAGCTTTCTCTCTCCTACTCTGGGCACTTCAGCCTGGGAGAGTCTGACAATCCGTTGGGGCCAGGATCCGGGCCAGGGCCTCAGAGACTCCTGCCAACATTCCTTGCTCTTGGGGTGTGCTCTGTTCTTTGCAAGATCCTTTCTCAGCATTTGTGGGAGACCAGCAGGACAGTCACTATCTGCACTAGATTAATGAGCACCCAAGATTCAGAGAGGGAAAGGGGGTTGCCTGAGGTCACGCAGCAAGTCAGTGGCAGCGCTGGGATGGAGTTGGTCAGAGGAAAAAAATGCTCATTGGCTTCCCCAGAAGCCCCTAGATTCTGCTTTCAATATGACAGCAGGCCAGTCTGCTTCCTGCGGAGGCCTTTGAAGATGCATGTTTGGCTTTGCAGATGACTGGAAACCTCTGTGATGTACTGAGAAGGCCTGGCTTAACTGGGTGCCTGGGATTCAGCTGGGGGAGACCTGATGCTGACTCACCACACGTGGGGCTTGGCGGTTCCATCGGAATTTCTGCATTTGGCAGCACTGGGCGGACTGAGGGCTTCTGGGCCCTCACCTGATGCCAGTCCACCCCGGCAGCGGCTGCAGGCAGGCTTGTGGTCCCCGTGGGAAACCTTTCCCGAGCAGGGTCTCCTGGGGCCCTGCTGCGGACAGGGTGCCCTATGAGGAGTGGGTTGGCTGAGACGGCAAGCCCAGGCCACCAAGGCAAACCTCAGGTGGTCACCATCTTTTCCCAGTTGGGAAAACCCAGACCTTTTGAGTTTGGAAAAAAGTCTGGAAGCATGGGGCTGCAGAAAGGGCCAAAGCTTTGATAGAAGAAGCCAGGCATACCAGCCCAGCTGGGAAACAAACAGAAGGGCGTGGTGGGGAATCTCCATGTTCCATGCTCCACGTCTGGCACTGGCTCCCTGACTTATGGCCTCCTTCCCCGCGAGGTTTCCGGGGCTTCCACCAGATCAGGGTGCCCTGGGTGGCAGCTGACCTTCCTGACTCTCTGTGCAGAAATGAGGACACGGGCTTGGTGGCCCCCAGAAGATCTAAGGCCAAGTGTGTGCCCTCCTGGAGGAGGACCTGTACCTGTATTTGCCTGAGTCCTCACCATCAGAGCCTACCAGCTCAGCTCTCAGCTGTCCTCTGACCGGTCCTGCAGCAGAATTACCTTCCTACCTCACCTGAGTGCTCCCTCAGCTGATCTGTGACCAGATCTCCCCAAACTCAGTGTTCCTGCTCGACCCTGTCCCCAGCCAGGGTCAGGCCACCTGCCCAGCATGGGAAGCCGCATAGTCTAAAACAGTGGTTCCCAACTGGGGGTGGCTTAGCCCCCAGGCAATATTTAGTAATGCCTGAAGTCAGCTTTGGTAGTTACAGCCCAGGGTGGTGTTGGGGTTGCTATGGTAAGTAGAGACCAGGGATGCTGCTGACTACCTACGATGCACAGGATAGCCTCATGGCAAAGTAGTACCCAGCCCAGATGGTCAGTAGGCTGAGTAATCCCAGGCCCGGGATTAGACTGTGATCTATGGTGTCAGACATTCAAGCTCCACTCCTAGCTCCAAAGCCTCCAGCTGTGTGACCTTGGGAACATTCCTCTTTCTCGCCTAGCCTAAGGGTCCTCAGCTGTAAATAGTTCTGAGACTATTCTATAGTTCTGTAAATAGTTGTGAGAACTAGCATTTTGAATCCTTAGCAGGGTGCTTGGCAGCCAATAAGGACTACATACATATTAGTTCCTCTCATTCATTAATTCAGCCATAAAGTACTTCCAGGGAGTCAGGGGTCCTCAGATCTCACAGTCAAGTTGGACCTACAGATGAGTCTGTGAGGAGTGATCTGATAGAGATTAGGACAGCCTATTTTGAGGGCCCACAGGAGGGGGTGATCTGCTGAGCGGGTGAGTGGGTACCTGGCAGAGTTAGGAAAGGATTTTAAGAAAAACTTCCTTGACTTATTCGTTGGTTAGTCACTAAGTTGTGCCTGACTCTTTTGTGACCCTTTTGTGACTCTTTTGTGACTCTTGTGACTACTGCTCACCAGGATCTTCTGTCCACGGAATTTCCCAGGCAAGAATATTGGAGTGTGTTGCCATTTCCTTCTCCAGGGGATTTTCCAGACTTAGAGATTGAACCTAAGTTTCCTGCTTTGGCAGGCGGATTCTTTACCACTGAGCCACCTGAGAAGCCCTCCTTGGCTTATTAGGAAGTCTCAAAATGCACACTTCTAGTTCCAAGCCTCAAGATTCAATTCCACATATGTTTTTCAGACATCTGCTCAAAGGTTGAAGTTCAGAGAGGCAAAACGATTTGTCTGAGGCCACACAGCCAGACAGAGCTTTCCTCTGGCCTGGTAGTAATGGAATGAGGACACCAGCTGATAGCAGTTCTTGATGCTGGAGAGGCAGGGCTGTGGGGGCCGATGGAGGTGGCCCGTGGTGGTTCTGTTCACAGGAGACCACCTAGGGGGCACGGAGTGCTGGGCTTCTCCCTCAGGCCCCCCTATGGCTTCCTTGCCGCGTGTGCATTACCAGAGTGGTCGTAGGGAGGTCAGGACTCTGTCCCCAAGACCACCTTCTAAGGCAAATACATCGTTAAGAGGGTGGATGATGCTTTACCTAGTTGCTCAGATTCTCTCGATAGATGTTTTCAACAAACCTAGTGGAGCCTGAGGAAGAGATCAGTGCCTGGAGGTTGAGATGGGGTTGGGCAGGAAAGACCCAGAAATGGACCTGCAGTCTTTCTGTGGAGAGGGGCCCCGCACCATTCGTGGGGCTGAAAGCCATAGGCTGGAGCAGTGAGGAGGGGGTGGGGGGTCAAAGGGCACGCTCTTACTTGACTATTCATTCCAGATCAGAGAGATGGTTATTTCTACTCAGAGGTCCTGGAACAATGGCCAGGAGTGGGGCATTAGACACCAGGGCACAGCCTGAGGACTTGGGGCTGGGCTTCTGGGGACCTCAAAGAACCAGAAATGTTTCCTGCCACCAGGGGTCAACTTGCAAAGAATCCAGAACAGCACGGCAGTGGGCCTTGGCCTCATGGGGGCAGCCTTGGCTGCCTGCCCCAGAGCTGGCGGGGGAAAAAACCCACCATCTAGGCATAAGGGGGCTCAAAAGGAGTTTACAGCCTTTCGGTATCAACCCCTCATTTCATCATTATGGATGAGTTTCTTTTACTTTTGATTAAATAAGATATGCAAAATGAGTTCAAATGCAAAACCCTTAGGAAAGATGACAACTTTAAGGCTTCAGCAGGTGAGAACCTTACATAGTCACCTCTAACCTTAGCTATCCTGTCCATGAGCCCAGGAGGTGGGTTGAGTGAAAAGGGCACAGGCTGAAGAGGCAGGGGGTGGCTGGGGCTGTAGGTCTGGGGGGTAACCCCCCCCACCCCACACCACGCTGCCTCAGCCTGTTTCAAATGTAACGGAGTCTGGTCCTCCTAGACCATCATGTGCAGTTTAAAGAAAAAACACTCTGTTCTCATCTTGGGTGAGTGGCCAAGTCTTTTGTATAGATAAGGTCCACCCTAATAAAACTGCTTCCTTCTGTAAACTTTCGTTGTTGGGGAGATTTATGGAGTGCAATGCAGGAGAGCCATCACCATGGGCATCAATTATTTATGGTCCTCTTCCTTCCGCCACATCTTCCCCTTCTGGCCCTTGGGGATTATAGTCTGAGAGCTGTGGATCTCTTCTGCAAGGTTTCTGGCAGATTCATGCAGCTTTTTCTTGGTTACCCAGCTTGACAGGGAGTTCATCACCTCAGCAAGCCGCCAGCACTAATAGAAGCCACTCCAGCTCTCAGCAACCTTCACATTCATTTCCAAATGCTAATGGAACCATTGGCTTACAAATCCATTCTAAAATTTGGCCAGGCATCCATAGCTAATTTTGCTGATGGTAATTTCCAGAATATTCTTTCTCCTTTTGGTTAATCAGGACTAGAGTTTCCTGGGGCTCTGGGTCTCTGGTTTTCCCAGCAACTCTGACTTTGGCCATCATGCTGGAATGTAATAATGCCTGTGGCCTGGAGTTTTGGTTCATCCAGGGGCTCGGGGATATATGGGGGTCTCCTCTCCTAATCTGGACTCTGGTCCTTTCTGTCTGTTGTTGCTTTTGCCCTTCCTAACTTGAAGCCTGCTTTCCTTGCTAGATAAGATGGCAGCAGACCAGGTGATCAGATCTGACCTTTCCTCTGCCATTTGTGAACATTCTGTGGGTCCTTCTCTTGGGACTTAGGATCCTTCCTTCTGACAGAGCTCAACAGGCCCAGGGCAATTGAAGACTCAACACATTTGCAGGAAGCAGCTGCCTGAGGCTGTCTAGGGAGCATTTCCTGAGGAGATGGATCCCCAAGGTTCCCCCAAGAGATGTACTCATTTGGGCTCAGGACCTGTTCTGGGCAAAGTTGAGAGGCTGGATCTTCTTGTCCCCAATCCCCAGATAGGTCTAACTGATCCTGAGAGCTGTGGGGGTTGGACTCCCAAGGACAGGACGGCTGTGGCCAATTATGATGGCATGACCAGCCTAGCACTGAAAAACCTCTGCACCCTAAAATAGCAACCCAATGGCCAGTCACAGTGCCAGACAGGCCACCATCACTGCCCCAAACCTTTGGATTTGGAAGGATTTTATTTATTTAAACAGTTATTTAAAAAGTCTTAAAGAGTCTCAAATACAAATGTAATCACTGTCTTTTTCTAAGTCTTATCGGATGAAAGCTTCCAGATGTCTGTCATTTGAAAACAAGACACAGGGTGACAGAAGAACTGGGGTCTCTATCTACAGAGTGGGGAGATGCCTCCTGGGTTTCTCCAGTTAGGGGAAGAGAACAAGAGTTGAGCGTGTGGAGGAAGCCACAGGAGGCACCTCATGACCTTGACCTCAGTAACAAGCTGAGGTCCTGAGCTACCGGCCTCCCCTGTGCAGCCGGGGAGCTCTAGTGATCCTGAAAGAACTCATCCTGTTTGACACATTCTGCTGCTTGGGCCATTGTCAAGGTTCAGCTGCACTTCCCCGAATCCCTGAAGCTTGTCTTAACCTCCCTCCTCTCTAGAGTCCCTGATTGCTGGGCACACACAGATCACAGTATCAGAAGCAGGAGACTGAACTTACCATTTAAGAGTCTTTCTCCCCAACTAGACTGTGAATTGCTGTCAGTTGAAATGTTACCTTCATCTCTATATATCCCAGTGCCTCACACACAGCCAGGCCCAAGGGGAGATGCTCAAAAACTGACCTTGAAATGGAAGATGGAGACATGGGACATTCTCTCTCTCTTGCTGTCCCCGCCATCACGGCTGGCCCCCCCATGTGTGCTCAGCTTTCCCCTAGTTCTGGGAGTATAACTTCCTCTCTCTTCTTATCTGCTGCCACCCATGGCTGCTGAAATCCTTGTCCTCAGGGGCCTGTTCAAGCCCCAGACTTCCCTGAATGTCCTTTCCCTTAGCCTGGGCCTTTCCTTCTGTAAAACCCTGATCACACACAGCCTTGGCAAGGACTGTTTTTGTTTTGTTTTTTACTAAACCATGCAGATCTTAATTCCCTGATCAGGGATCAAAGTTGTGCCCCGGGTAGTGGAAGTGTAGGTTCTTAACCACCAGACCACCAGGGAAGTCCCTCATGCTGCCTTGATAAATGTTAGATGGGTCCATGTGGTTCCCCATTGAGTAGGGAGTCTCTACAGGGGCTCCATGGATGAGTGGGCCTGCTGAAGTTATACACCTGTACTCAGAAGAAGTCTGTAGTTTCTGTCATTTTATTCTCTAAGTTCAGGAGTGCTGCTCTGCATTGTTTTCATGCCTAGTTGGCAAGAATAAATTCTGCTTCCTTTTGATATCTTAGTTGCATTTGACAAATGCTTGTTGGATTTACTGAAATTGATTTTCTTTGTTGCATTTTCTAACTAGGCCTGACCCCCAGAGTCAGGAGTCCCAGGCTAGTCCAGCCGAAGCACAGAACTTGATACCTGACCTGTGTGAATGAATGCCCTTGCCGTTCCTGGTATGCAGCCCCTGACCCTCAGACTGGGAGCTCCCTGAGGGCAGGGCTCTTGCCTCTGTACCTCCTGGGATAGAGCACAGGGCCCAGCACAGAAAAGGCAGTGAAAAGATTTGCTAATGTGACCACCTAAAATGGGACAACTATTACCATCTGCTGACTCTGCAGGGCTGTTTTTGAGCGTGAATGAGGCGCAGAAATTTTCTGAAAAAAAAATTAAAGTGCTCGGCACATATTGCATGACTACTGTCAATATAGAGCAGTAATATTTATATCTTGCTGTATTCAATGGGCACGAGATAGTCCAGATGCAGCTCAGGAAACGCTGAGCATGAGCCGCATTTCCGTCCATCTGCCCACTGTGTGCTAGGCATCCATACCCCTCCCCTCCGATCTGGGATCTCTGACTCAGGCCTCACTCATGGAACAGCTGCTCAGTGTAGGGGAAAAGCATGAGGCTAATATTTCTCTCACTCGTATCACCTCAGCAGGTCATTCAGCCTTCCTGGGAAGTGGCTTCTTTACCTGGAAACTGGGAATAAGGAACCCTGCCATGTTCACCTCACAGAGGAGTGGGGAGAATTCAGAGGGTTAATGAAAGTGATGTGGAAGTGGGATGGACTGATAGGTCTTTTCTGGCAAAGTGGGAGGCATGGTCCCTTCCCATGGGGCCAACTGGGCAGAGCACATGCACAAGCCCAGGGCACCTATCCGCCCAGAGTATGCTCACAGGGGCGTGTGCTGATACCAGCACACAGGCTTTCCCCACATGTGTTCTCGGGCAGGGCTAGACCTCCAAACAGCTTTAGAAGTAAAGCGTGCTCACAGCTATGGACGGCTCTGCCCCTCTGGCTGGCTTCCCACGTGGCTCAGTGGCAAAGAATTCGCCTGCCAATGCAGGAGACTCAGGAGATGTGGGTTCAGTCCCTGGGTCAGGAAGATTCACTAGCGTAGGAAATTGTAACCCACTCCAGTATCCTTGCCTGGAAAATTCCATGGACAGAGGAGCCTGGCAGGACACGACTGGGTGACTGAGCAGGCATGCATATGCCCCTCTGGCAATCCTGTGAGGTTTCAGCCCCATCTTGAGGATCAGAAACAGGTGAGGCACATGCCCCAGACACAGCACAATGCTGGTGACACCACGGGTCTGCTTGGGACCTCTGCAACGTGACGCCGAGCCCGCACACAGAGAGGCCCCTGTGGGCTGCCTTCTGGAGCACATCTGGGACTTCTGCCCACATGGACACAGGGCTGGGCCGCTCATACACAGGCTGCCTCGGGCATGCAGGGCACTGTTAGAGCCCAGGCAAGGAGTTTTGCCATTCTAGCCTAGTTTTTGCACAAGGCTCTCTGGGGACCAAACAGACCCTTGGTCCTGGGGGACATGTCCCCCCCAGCACCCTGCACAGAGAGGTCTTGAGACAGCTAATTGTTATTGATGATCTTGATGTCCCTCTTCTAGCCACAGAGACAAGAGACAGAGAGACCCCAAGAAAGAGAGCAAGGGGGATGAGAGACAGCCCAGGAATGGCAGGATAATAACGTAGGGAGCTAAGAAGAGTGAGAGGGTGGGAGGGCAGCTCTAAACCCATCCTTACCTCCACCACGTGAGAGGAAAAGCCCGTCTGTGACATCTCCAGCCCGAAGGAGGTTTCATTCTTATTTGTGCCTAAAACAGAGGGATGGAAAGATGTCAGCTGCACGCATGACTTCTTAGTGCCAGACATGTCTACAGGTCAGTCCCCAGCACCTGTGACCTGGAAGCACTTTCAGTGAGCTGAGACAGGGCCCCAGGTCTGAGTCCAGCTCATCCACCCCAACAGCAGGCCCCTTCCAGGTGGCCATGTGGGTTTATTATTAGCAACCCTGCTGAAAAGGGATTGGAACACCTTATATTACAGGGCACGCATGCTATGAGAGTGTTAACATAGGGGAAAGATCCAGAAAAGTGCACGGAAAGAAATCATCTACATTGTTGGCAAGAAATGGAATTTCCCACTTTGTTCATTCCTAAAATTCACCAGATTCGGTTCCAGATGCCTCTGGATGGTTCCCAAATTGTAAATCGACCCTTAGGAGGAAGAGTTGTCACCATCACAGATTTGCACAAGGAATCCCACGAGTGTCGAAAGCTCCTCCTTGCAGAGGGGCTCCAACGTGTCAATGCAGGCAATGTTCTCATCATACAAGGTGACCATTTTGAGAATAAATTCACTGATCTGGATGTTTAATTCTAGGGTAGGGGTCAGAGTCAGAGTCAGGTCCATACTCTATTCCTTTACCATCATTTCTGAGGGCTAGTTTTTCTCTCTTCCTGTGTCTGTAGCTCATTACTTCCAATGCAGAGCAAGCTGCTCAGGCTCTGGGATGCTATGCTGCCTTCTCTTTCTTTTGACCCAGTGAGGCAAGGACCCCCTACAGCAATGTATGGTGCAAAGGAGCCCTGCGCACATCAAAACTGGAGTCTGAGTCACAAGGAGAGAGCAGTCTGAGGGAACCTTGCAAAATAGTGTGCTGGGAGGTGGCAGGACTCGGCGAGTGAGTGTTTCAGGCTGTGGAGTCGGGCTCAGCTGGGCTCAACTCGGGCTGCCAGATAAAATATGGGATGCTCAGTTAAGTTTGAATTTCAGACAAACAGTGAATGGTTTTTTAGTATGTCTGCCACAAATGTTGCATTTTATATTTGCTATATCTGGCAGCCCTCATTCAAATCCCAATTCCTTCCCAAGTGGTGGGAGCTCTGGCAAGTCATTTAGTCCCTTAGAACTGCAGTTACCTCCATGGTAAAAGGAGGAGCTTATCAGCAAAACCAGACTTCAAGGCTGTTTGGAAAGCATGGAGCCTCAGGTCCAGCATGGGAGCGCTGGGGTTTATCAGGAAGGGAGAACTTCTAAACCCTCCCATTCTGTGGGGCTGGATTTTTTTTTTTTTAACATGGACCATTTTTTAAAGTCTTTATTGAATTTGTTACAATATTGCTTCTGTTGTTTATATTCTGTTTTTTTTTTGGCCAGGACTTAGCTCCTCAATCAGGGATGCAACCCGCACCCCCTGTGCTGAAGGTGTGGGGCTGGGTTTCACTCATTTGGGCTTCACCCACCATGAGCCCAGGAGCACGAGCACCTCTCAGGAAGCAGTGCTCACCTTCCAAGCTGAAGATCCTGTCCCCCAGGGCATCGACAATGTCCTTCAGGGCTGCCTCATCAGTGACGTTGAAGAAGTGCTTGTCGTCGGGGTCACTGGCGATGTATTTAATTTCGTTCAGAAAAGCTTCTGGATTGATCCCCCTGCGGTTGTAGTAGCCCAGGACCTGCCAGGGAACAGGGGGCCAGGGCGACAGACAGGACATGGCACAGACCTCCCCCACGCCCAGGGCAGGCTGGAGCGCCTGCTCTAAGCTAGGGTACTTGGAGGTGTTTTCTAGTTTCTGAGGTTTCAGAGCCTGCCTGGCAATGAAGGGAAGAAAAAACCCACAGCTGTTGTGAATACCTAACAAGGATAGGCCCATTTGAGGGCCCGGATGGCTAGTTCACTGCCCAGAAAACACTCCCCCACCCACAGAGTCCCTAGGGGGTTGATGGCAAAGCCTCTAGAAGGTAGGCAGGAGTGGGATGGGTGGGGCAGGACTCACGGCCACGGCGTATCTGGTCACGTTGTCCCTCTCGCTTTGCTGGATCACCTTCTCTAGGTCTGGACTGTCGTGGGACTCCCCATCTGTGATGACAATCATCACCTTCTTGGCCCCTTTCCTTCCGCCCTTCTGGAAAGCCTCTGATCTGGAACCCGAGCACACGGGAGGGTCACAGAGGGAAGTGGGGATGGGGCAACCCCCCAACCTCCTGCAGAGGCACAGCCACGGGAGCCGGGGCTAAGCCCCCCAGCAACACCACAGGTGTTGGAACCTCAGACAAAAGAAGCAGCTGGATTGAGATACCCAGACTACTTGTCCACTGGCTGCTCACATGGGTCTTAAATCTGCTTGTCTTTATTTATTTAAAATTTAAAATTTTATTTGAGTATAGTTGCTTTACAATGTGTTAATTGCTGCTATGCAGCAAATTGAATCAGCTACATGTATATATTCTGTGGGCTTCCCTTGTGGCTCCACTGGTAAAAAAATCTGCCTGCAAAGCGCGAGATCAGGGTTTGGCCCCTGGGTATACATATCTATACATACATACATGTTACATATATCCCCTCTTTTTTGGGTTTCCTACCCGTTTATGTCACCACAGAGCATCCCTTGTGCTATACAGTAGGTTCTAATTAGTTATCTATTTTAGACATAGTATCAATAGTGTATATATGTCAATCCTAATCTCCTAATCCATCCCACCCCCTTCCCCCTTGTTACCCATGCGTTTGTTCTCTACGTCTGTGTGTCTATTTCTGTTTTGCAAATAAATTAATCTATACCATTTTTTCTAGATTCCATATACATATGTGCATTACTATGTATTTGCTTTTCTCTTTCTGACTTACTTCACTCTGTATGACAGACTCTAGGTCCATCCACGTCTCGGCAAATGGCACAATTTCGTTTCTTTTTACGGCTGAGCAACATTCAAATCTGCTTGTCTTTAAAAAGTGACTTTTAAAAACCCCTCTCAAGTCCTGATCATGCTGCTTTGGGCAAGCAGAAGGGAGGGGGTGGTTCTGGGAGTGGAGACCTTCAGAGGCCCTAATTTCATGGTTCAAAAACCTCGGTGCACATTAGAATCACCTGGGGAATTAAAATAAAAATGATGCCAGTCCCCCCCTGGACTCATGGAATCAGAATCTTCAGAGTGTGGACTGGGCACTGGAATTTTCCAACAGTTCTAATGAACACGGGGGTTTGAGAACCACTTCCCTAAGATCTGAAAGGTGATGATCCAGAGCAATTTAACACCCAAGCAAATGTGTGTGATGAAGTGTGACAAAGATTTTTCCTAGGAGAACCACTTTGATTCTATTTTGGGAACTATTAAATATCAAATTCTATGACAAATATCGTCTTTCTTGCTTTTTATTTTGTTTTCAGTGGCCAGAGCAGGTGTTTGGCCTGCTTGCTGGGCAGTCCAGCCAGGGGCCTGGGGGCTGGCATGCTGTGGACAGACTCTCGCAGCTGGCGACCCATCTATGAAGCAGAAAAAATTGGCTCCTGAACCATCACTAGCTTTTGCTGCCTGTGTGGCCAACTCTCCTTCAGACTGTGAGGTTCTGAATTTTCCAATAAGGAACTAAAAACAAATGTTATCCTTAGGCACTGCAGTAATTCCTCACGGGTCCGACCCATAGATTTAAGCACCATGATGCCAGGTTAAATTCCACCTCCAGGCTCCAAAGCATTGGTTACCAGAGGTATCTTTTGTTACACGGCAAGTTGATGAGCTGACATGCATGATTTAGATGCTGAGGAATTCACAAAAGTTAGAATAAATTAGTTCAGAGCATTTTCAAGCTACCAGTTAAGAGAAACGGACCATCTGCCACTCTCTGAGAAATTCTATGATATTCTGGATATGCTGGCTTAAAAAAAAAAAACCCTCTAATTTTAGTATGAGGCATGGACTAAGGCTCACTTGACAGGACAAAATATAGAGAATATTTTGGGCTTAAGCCCGACTCAGTGGAGGGAGTCTACGAGCCCCTCAGAGGAGACTCAAGATGCTCCCAGACCTTCTTGGAGGGCCAGGTCCAGGAACAAAACTTCAGGAGAAAAAAATATGGCAGGGGAAACACAGGTTCTATTACATATAGAGCCAAGGACATTTCAGGATTATATTTCCATAGAGTGGAATGGTGTGAATATCTGTATGAATCTGTAATTGTGTAAATACTGGCATGAGTCATCGGATTTAAAATTGTGAATCTGTACTGTGTAAAAGACTTGGATTCGTTGCTTTGTAAATTAGACTGTAACTTCCTGGAGAGCAATGAGAGCTTTATACTCATGATAGGTTCCATGAGCCTGGAGGCCAGGGTGACCGGGTGGAGAAAGCAGGTCATATCACGTCCCCTTTCTGCTCAAATCCTGTCCTGGCTCCCCTTTCTCCCAGGCCCTGGCAGACCCTCGGTGACCCTTCTGCCCCCTCCTCCTGCTGGCATCTTTCCTGACCCTAGGACCACCAGGCACATTCTTGTCTTAGGGCCTTTATCAGAGCTTCTCCCTCTTGGAACTTCCTCCACTCAGCACCCCGCTGGCCAACTTGCTCGCCTCCTTCAAGTCTCCACTCAAATGTTAGTTCTCAGTGAAGCCTTCCCTGACTTCCCTGTCAATGCTGATTAAATACCTGCCTTCTCCACCCTGCTTGACTGCCTTTACCAGGCTGTATTTTCCACCCCCATCCCCACCCCAGGCTTGCCAGTGGCTCAGTGATAAAGAATTCATATGCCAATGCAGGAGACACAGGTTCAATCCTTGGATCAGGAAGATACCCTGGAGAAGAAAATGGCAACCAACTCTAGTGTTCTTGCTGGGATAAACCCATGGGCAGAGGAGCCTGATGGTCTGCAGTTGATGGTGTTGCAGAGGGTCGAATATAACTTAGCGACTAAACAACAAGAAAAATTTTCCATCATATCTTGTATCTCCTAGCATACTATATATATATATAAAATTTTTTTTTTTTTGCTTATTGTCCGCCTCACCCTCAGCTTCACGAAGGCAGGACATTTATCTATTTTGTTCACTGATTCATCCTGAGTACCTAAAACTGCATGAGGCATATAGTAGATGCTCAATAAAAAGTGTTGAATGAACAAAGGTGGCATCACAATGCTGCCCCGCCCCCTCCCCTAAAGCCACATGTGGCTACCAGAGTCACCTTCATGTGCACATCTGATGATGACATTCTTGTCCTTAAGAACCTTCACTGGCCACTCACGCTTGCTTTGGCTACGACAGTACCACTCTCATAATCTAGTTCCAAACCTTCTTTGCAGCATCAGGGCTTACTATCCCCCCCAACACAAAATGTGCTCAGGAGCAAAGCTCTGAACGTAAATGTTCCTTGACTTCCCCTCTCCTCTGTTCTTACTGGGGCAGAATGTCTTCTCTACCTCTCCCTGCTGGAACCCTGGCACCTTCCTAGGACAGGTCAGATGTCCCCCAATCCTGGCAGTCCTCCCAAGACCCTCCCTTGGAGCCTTCTCTCTCTCATCCTCACTGAGTTAGGCTGACACTTATCAGAGCTTCCCTATTAAGCCTGGGATCACGAGTTACCATTTTTATAAACCCTCAAGTCCATGGCCTGGGTCTTTTACTTTAGTAGATGCACAGAAAAAAATGCACTATGAATAGCTGAGTGAGGAAAGAAAACCTTTGACCTTAAAAGGAGCCAGCTGTAATTTGGACCCCAGACTTGGCCAGGCAGAGCAGATTTGAAAGTTCATTTGAGGTGCAGGTTGCACACCCCAGCGGTGTTTGTGAGTCACGATGGTTCAAGTCACTAGGTGAGTCACACACTTACACTTAGCCTGGGGGAGATGGGCTGCGAAATGAGTTGGAAACAGTGGGCTCCAGCCCGACGGGAGTCAGTCAGCTTCTCACTGATAGCTCAGTGGGTGTGGGCTTCCTCAGTTCTCCACTGGCCATTTCACAGGGCCTACTCGGGGGTCTCAGTGGCTCACCCCCATGAAGACAAAACAGCAGCAAGGGCCCATTTCTCAGGAGGGTGAGTAAGAGCCATCTTTACAAACAGAGATGCTCATTTAGGGAAAAAGTTTGGGCAAGTTTTATCAGCAAACAGAAATACGCTGGTGGAGCATATAATCATAAAGTCATGATGTTGGAAGAAACTTACTCTTTGACCACACAAAATCATGTCAGTACTAAATAGCTCCCACATTGCAGAATTCTGCTAAACACATTAACTAACCCTACTTGAGGGGGGATTATAAGGTAATGGGACTGTGGTCTCAATGAACACAGCAGAGCTCATATTCGAAGGTGTAAAATTTATACATTTAAATCTCCATGCCTTGGACACAGTCATCTTGGGAGTTTAGGCTACAGCTGGAAAGATCTGGGGGAACTGACTTTAAAATCATTCACTGATTCCAGTGTGGGTGAGTACGGTGTTCTGAGCAATGTCAAGGTCACTGGAATAAGCACATAGCTATCTGGATGGCTATAAATAACGTTGATTATCACTGTGAGTTCTTGCGTCATGTTTAAGAGCCGGCCTCATGGCTCTATAATCTCAGATGTTAGATTTAACTCTGTTACTCACATTCCGCTGATGAAAAATACCCCACAAGAAGATTCTGTCCTCACGCGACCTACACACTTTTGATAGGGTCTCAGTGGTAGAAGACATTTCCCGAAGTTGGCAGCAAAAATATCCCCTGACCCTCAAAGGCTCTTCTGTGATGTGACCTTGCCATTCCTCCATCAAGGAGGGAAATTAAATTCTCTTCTCCTTGAACCTGAGCTGGCCTTAGGGACTTGCTCAATCGTAGACTATGGCAGGGAATTCCCTGGTAGTCCAGAGGTTAGGACTCCGTGCTTCCACTGCAGGAGACAGGGGTTCAATCCCCAGTCAAGGAACTAAGATCTCACATTCTGTGTGGTAGAGCCAAAAGAAAACTACAGCAGAAGTTATATTCTGGGGCTTCTGCAGCTAGGTCACAGGCAGTCTTGGAGTTCGTGCCTGGGTCCCTTGGAAAACTTCCTCTCAGAGGCTGACTGCCATAAAGTGAGAGTGTCAAGCCACATGCCCACACACAGGAGCTCAGATTGCCAGCCTCAGCTGAACTCCCAGCCCACGGCCAGCCTCCACTGCCAGCCATGTGAGCCTGCCATTCTGGATGACCAGTCCAGTTGAACCTTCAGGTGACAACAGCCCCACCTAACACCAGACTTCAACCACACGAGAGAACCCGAGGTGAGCTGACGGCTGAGCCCAGCCAACACCCAGTACTTTGAGGGGTTAATTATTGTCTCTTCAGACACTAAATTTTTCGGGGCAGCAATAGATAACTAGAACAGTATCTGAGATCTAGAAAAATTATTTTATTTTATTTTTTTACCGGGCAAATTCAATTCCAAATGCTGTCCGGGTTTCTGTTCCTCCTCTCTGCTCAATGTGGCTGGCAGCTTCCACCACGTCCTTTACAGACCTGTAGTCGTTGAGGTGAAATTCGTGTACCACGTCTTCTCCATACTGCACGACTCCAACCTGCGAGTCAAACGAGAGGGCGACAGAATGTCTTGACCCCTGAAGGCTGGCCCTTTGGGGATGAGGCCTCCTGGAGTCATCTATCTGGGACTGGTCAGGAGTGAGGAGGCCTGGGGGCCTTCCGAAGGGAGAGGGATGAAGCCAAAGGGAAGCAGGTTCTGCCAAGTCCTGGGAATGAATGGCTGGCTTGGTGAGACAAGTGGGAGGTGCCTATCGCAAGAGGAGACTGATCTAAAAGATCCAGCAGATTAAGTTTCTTACTTAAAAAGACAGAAGTTGAGCACAGAATTAAAATCTAAAATCTTAGGAATACTGTGGGAGGATGGGCTATGGCATTGTTCACCAAAATCTGGAACTAAGATTCTTTACATTTTGGAAGAGAAGTCTGAAATATTAATTATCCTCAAATATTAATAGCCTTAAAAGAAACAAAACTTAAAAGAATAAACAAAACCTACCTGTAGTAGGACTAGACTGAACAAATACTACTGTTGGATGGGCCCACAGAGTCTGTTTGGTAAGGGTGCATTTCCGAATGCTGAATTTTCACCTGGCATACCCTAAAACAGTTTCCCAGGGGTGGGGAACTCATCACTTCATGAGAAAGCCCACTCCCTTTTTACCAGCTTTGATGGCTGCAGAACAGTTTCTTAGGGCTTTCCTAATGGCCCAGTTGTAGAGAGTCTGCCTGTCAATGCAGAAGACATGGGTTCGATCCCTGCTCTGGGAAGATCCACATGCCCCAGAGCAACTAAGCCTGAGCATGATGACTACTAAGCCCGTGTACTGCCCCTAGAGCAGCCCCCACTTGCTGCAGCTAGAGAAAAACCTGCGTGGCAATGAAGACCCAGCACAGCCAAAAATAAATACATAAAATTATTAAATAAATACTTTCTTAGATGACTTGAAATCTGCCACCTTGTCATTTCTATTCACTGGTCCTCATTTGGCCTGCCAAAACAATACGGAATAAACCTCCCCCCTCACTGGCTAGGCAGCATTTCAAATATGTGCTGGCAGCTACGACAACTTCCCCAGTCTCTGCTCCAAGATCAAAGAGTCTAATTCTCCCCCTGCCTCACCCAGCGGGATTCTGCTGCCTTCTCACACTCTCTGGCTGATCAAAGTTTTTGTTAATAGATGGTGTCCATCCCAGAGGACAGTGGTTGATCCACCCAATGATGCTTTTCCAAAACTGTCCCTTGATGTGCCCAGTGGAAATGGGTGTCTTGGGCTGCAGGGCCCTGTTGCTGGCCCTTTCACCCACATCTTTCTAGTGCATGTAAAGACACTCCCCCACACCTCAGGGCAGCATCTGCCATGGGTTTGGGGGGCCCTGTTTGGAGGAGGAGGAGAGTCCCAGCCATGCTCACCTGGATCTGCCCGGGGCCAATGTAAAACTTCTTCAGGATGTTGATGAGGAAGTGCTGAACCTCCACCCAGGGGTAGATGCTGTTGGAACCGTCCAGGACAATGACGATGTCCATGTAAGTCTGGCACCCTGGGGAGTGAGGACATGGTCACAGCGACCCCAGGAGCCAGTGTCTGAAAATCTCTGGTTCCCTGAATGGCTGTCCAAGGAAGCCCGGTCTGGGAGCTGTCTTCAGGCTGAACATTTATTTGGGCCACATGAGAGAGGAGCCCGGGATTTCCTGATGCTGCTCCATGGCTCTGAGCTGGCTGTCTAAACACAGCATCAATTAAGCCAGAATGCCTCTGCTCCTCATCAGGAACTGACCACCATCAGGTCCTTGTTTGGGAGACAGCCAACACTGCCCAAATCTGTAGTTCATTATTGTGTATTTTACAGTAATACGCAGGCTGGCATTTACCACTTTCAGCTCGAATGAATGGGCTTCACTTCTTAGGAGGGAGGCATGGTGTAATGGCTAGAAATGTGGAATCTGGCATCAGACTGTTTGACCTCTGGCTTTGACCTTGGGCAAGTTACTTAACAATTTGGCATCGGTTTTAACTTGTGTGAAAGAGGCACAATGATAGTAGAGGATAGATATGAGGAATTAACAAGGTGATGCTTCACGGGCTGAACTCAAGAATCTTAGCTGATCCTCATGTTATTTTTTTAACCAAACCAGTTTGTTAACATAGTAATGACATCATCAGGTCAAGCTCTTGTGCCTTGATCTCGCTTTGAGTCTGAAAGTTTCTCTATATTCTTGTAATATGAATACCAAATTAAAATGAATAATGGCAACAGAATGAATAATGAAACCTTGGTACCATAACAAATGGAAAAGGCATCTTTTAACATCTAAGGAATTGATTTCTGTTTGTGAAAGCTGGGGTTACTCTGAAATAAGATATCATGAATCTGATATGATATATACTAAACTATACCACATTGAAATACTGGGCACCTGCTTATTTTCACTGGAGGATTTTCACACTATTTTCAAATAAATCTACTTTATAGCAATATAGCAGGGGATGGGAGGTGGGGAGGCGCTTTGTGAGTCAGCCACTCCAGTAACTCCTGAATCGTGGAGGTACAGCATGTTGATAGCAGTGCTCACCAGAAGGCCAAGGTGGTGGGTTTGAGCCCAGGTGCCTGTCTCAGGCTCTGTGTTTGGGAGAGCACTTTAGCGGCTCTGGGTGACTCGGATGCTCAGGGTCTCCTCTGCTTTAGGAGAAGCTGTGTGGATGGCCCTCGTCTCGTCTGCATGTGATGGTCCTACACCTCCAGGCTGATGGTGCCCGATAACTTTGTCCTTCTCGAGTGTACTGCAGCCCCACACCTCTGGATCCAGCATGTGCTGGAGTGCTGCATGGTGCCAGCAGCCAGGAGGACGCAAGACAGAAATGCCTTGATTGGCGGGGGGGGGGGGGGGGGTGTGTGTGTGGTTCTAATCTACTGGTAGGGACCAGGTTTCTTTTAAAGCCAGTTTTATTATTAGAATGCATTTATTAGTGCTGATCTCTTTCTTAAGATTTGAAAATTTTTTTCAAGACACCTTGGGAAGAGCCTTGCTTTAGGTCTGCGGTTTTTAAACATGGCTGCACACACTTCTGAACACAAACGCATGCACGTGTGTACACGCACCTGGGCCTCCCAGAACCTCCTCCTCACCCCACTGAGCAAGCTCCAAGCAGATCAGATCCCAGGACATTACCCCTTGCCCCCGCCACACCTGCCAACACCACAGAGGATCTAACTCAGCAGGTCTAGGATGAGACCCCAGGTGCGTGTACACATGTGCGTACTCTTCCGCTGATGTGTGAGAACAGAATCGAAGCCCCTCATCACCTCTAAGAGGACCACTTCCCAGACCCCGTGGGACTGACTCTTCTTCCTCCCTCCTCCATGCACCATCTTCTGTCTCTGACTGGGCGCTGTTGTTTGGAGGGAGGCTGCCTTTAGCCAGAGGAGCTGATCCCCTCACCCTCAATAAAGCAGGCAACAGCTGCTTGGGCAATGGTATTTAGCCCACAGGAAATAGTGAGGCTTGGAGCCATGCCAGAGGCAAGGTCTGCACTTGACGTTCCAGACTTTCCTGGCAGGTTGGGAGAGAGTGGGAGGTTTGTGTTCCCTGAGGCCCCAGGAAAGCTGGGCAGCGCTTCCTCACGTCCAGGAACACAGATTAGATGGGACTATTACCAGGAATATTTCTGTTCTCCTTGGCCCTGCACCTCCAGGGCAGCTGCACTGCATAACATCAGAGGGCACCATTCACACTGTAGTCTAAGTGAGCCACGTCCCCAGATTTGTGCAGTGAGCAGCCTGTACATGGCAACCTGGCCATCTCCTCCTCACTCAGGTTTGCAATGAGCCTCTGGCTGTCAGGATGGTCTTCATAACCTTAACCACCCCCACCGTCACTCTGTAGGGGAGGGTGGGCCAGGATTGTGACCCCAGAGGTTACCCAGAGAGCCAGAGCCGGGCGGGGCTAGAGTCCAAGCTCTGCTTTGTAGCCACGGGATGGGGTGGTCAGAGCCCGGGGCCTCGCAGGGACTGCCAGTTGCTTAGCCTGGGTCTATAGATTGGAAGCCACTTACTTTGGAGAGCTGGGGCCACAGTCTTGGAGAACCTGAAGTTGGAGTTGACTCGTGAACACATCCCTGTGGTGTAGTAGGAACTCCCACACTCGTGCGACCAGAGGGGGCTGCAGGCCTATGGAGCACAGTACGGACCCCGGTCAGTGGGGAGCCTCAGGGAAGGTCTGGGCCCAATAGCCTTTGGCCCAGCCCCACCATCCAAGACACAAGACGCCATCCTTAGGATTTAGAGGGTCTTCTCCAAGTCTAACTGAAATCTCTCTTGCTGTAACATGCACCAGTTCCCTTGATTTCAGGTGGAAGGGAGACTAACTAATCTTAGAATCCACCTTTGTTTTATTTTCAAAGGTCTCCTTCTCCACCCCATCATCAGAGTTGTGACTCTCCTTCCCCTGCCTGTCTACCCCTCCCACCACACAGGAGGCAGGAAAACCTTGTCATCCATGGGAGGGGACCCTTCAAAGGTCTTCCTGAAGAGGTCACCTGAAGGTCATTACCGGGCAAACTTCCAGGAGAGGGTCCCAACAACATGCCCATGGCTCTTTCTTACTAGGGAAAGGAAAAAGTGTGTTTCTGCTCTTTCTATGAAGTTTGCTACCAAAACATTGATGTCAGCCCCTCGTTTAAAGACGGAATGATGAGTCCCTCTCAGAGTCATTGAAAACGAAAGCCCAACTTCTGTCTTCATTTTTGTCTTGCTGCTGGAGAACTCAAGATTAAATTTTATGCTGTTATTTCTTTTGGTTTGGAAGAACAATTGTTCTACTTCCAAGCCCTTTATTTAATTAGGTTTCTTTTCTAACTCAGATTTTAAAGGTTTTGTTTTATCTGTGTCTTTTGCTGGAGCTTTTCCAAGTTATTTCTGGAAGTGGGTGAGAATGAATAATGGGAGACTATGTGATGGACAGGAGAAGGCGATGGCAACCCACTCCAGTACTCTTGCCTGGACAATCCCATGGATGGAGGAGCCTGGTAGGCTGTAGTCCATGGGGTCACTACGTGTTGGACACGACTGAACGACTTCATTTTCATGCATTGGAGAAGGAAATGGCAACCCACTCCAGTGTTCTTGCCTGGAGAATCCCAGGGATGGGGGAGCCTGGTGGGCTGCTGTCTATGGGGTTGCACAGAGTCGGACACAACTGAAGCGACTTAGCAGCAGCAGCAGGTGATGGATAATGGCTGGAGGGATAGAAGAATGATGGATGGATGGATAGATGATGGATAAATGAATGGAGGATGGATGGATGGGTGCATGGATGGGTGGTTGATGGATGTGGGAAGGGATGGATGATTAGATGGGAGGATGAGGGGGTAGACTGATAAGCAGACAGGTGGGTGGCTGAATGAATGGATGGATGGATAGATGAATAGAGGGAAGGACATTTGGTTAGGGGATGGACTGATGAGTAAATGGATGAATGGATGAGTGAATGAGTTAACAAAGGTTGGTATTTACAAAGTAGGGTCTTAACCTCCCCTCAGAGGCCCCAGGGGTCGTGTCACACCTTCCTTCTCAGACCGTCATTCCAGCTTGTGAAGTCAGTGAAATCAAGTTGATGGGGTATGACAGGGAGCATCAGATGGAGAAGGGTGTCAGATCAAAGTCCCTGACAAGTATGTGTGGACAGGACCAGGGGTCCTGTTGCCCTTGGTTGGGGATGATGAGGGCTGTGGGCTAACCATTTACTGAGGCGCCTCGGGACTTTCCCTGGTAGAGCCACTATGCTCCTGTCAAATCTCTGAGCATCCCAGTCATCTCACTCCCCTGGTGTCTCATTTGTCAACAGAAATGGACTGATGGGTGAGAGCAGAGATTGATACCAGCTTTCCTATCTTAAAACGAGCGGTGCATTTTATTGGGCTTTTCGGTGTAATTTTTCTCTGAAATCTTCTCTTGCAGCTGTTTCTAGGAACCATCAGTCCCAGCATCACCCACATTCATGGTGGTTTACTTGAACGTGGTGGCAAGGGGTGGGCAGTGTCAATCAATCAGGCCACCTGCACCCGCCCACTGTGAGCAAAGCTTGCATCTGCTTGCCTGGGCGGGTGCAGAGAACTCCCAGCACCTAGTGCTGCTGACTTTCTGTCCCAACAGCATGTTCATATTACTCATTTGTTATCATCACACCCCCAAACAGAATGGAAACTTCAGGAGGGCAGGGAGCTCTGCAGACTGCTGAATCCCCAGTGCCTAGCATCAGGCTCAGTTCATTGTAAGAACTCAAAAAATAGTTTAAATGAGTGAACATCTCTACCACCTCAGCCCAAGTACTCCTTCCTTTTTCTTCCTTGCTAAGACTAGTTTCTTCTTTAAAAACAAAACAGAACCATTCTCCAGGAAATCTTCTCGTCTGATCCTCCATGCCGTTCAGGTGGCCTGCCTCTCTTTATCCTTTCCTCTGTTGTAGAAACTCTGCATTCACTCATTTATGACTTCCGCTCCAAGTCTTCTCAGGGTATGTGGTGTGTCCTAACTCTTTCATCAATTCTGGAGCAGAGATTTGGCCTCTGCCTTGGACATTGGGCTCCCCAAAGAACAAGATAGCACCCCCCTGCACCCTATTGGACTGTTAATAATCTTTATCCCTGTTCCTTTTTAGGCTGTCTGCTCCATGCTCCAACCTCCCCCCCCCGCCACCCACCTCCAAAGGGAATGTACACAAAAGGCTCAATCCTTTTTCTTGTCTGAATTGTTCCTCGAAAAAGTTTAGGGTGCAGTAGGCAGAATGGCACAGGCAGGAAGTTGGAGGAGGGGCTGTTCCTGGGGCGCACAGGGACCGGTAGTCTGGTGGGCAGGCATGTTCAACCACCCCATGTCCCTTGCAGCTCCAAGCAGAGGGCATGTGGGGGCAGGAAGGGCTGGGGATTAGAAAGAGGGCCAGTGGGTGGCTCTTACCAGGAAGCTGTTGTCCTTGGGGTTGGTGGCCAGGCTCAGGCCGAGACGCATGTTGTCCTTCCTCTCGGACACGTTGGATAGGGTGACCCTTCCTGGGGTGGAATGGAGAGGCTCAGCCTGCAGTCCCTCCTGCCCGCCTTCTGCCTAGCATCTGCTGCTGCCACTGGCCGCCAGAGGGGCCCAAGGCAGAGGCAAACGGGGTCCTCTCCCATTCTGCCTGCCCCTCTGGACCCCTCACTCATCTGCAGATCAGTGAGCCCTTCACGGTTTACTAAGGCCTTGCCCAAAGGTCGTCTGATTACTTTCTCTCAACTCGGTGTGAGAAGAGGAATATGAAGCTCAGAGAGGCCAAGCAAGCTGCCCAGAGTCACACAGGAAGCACATGACCAGGCTTTCCATCTCCTAATCCAGAGCTTTCCCTCCTCCAGCCATCTCTGAGTCCCACCCCAAACATACCAGGGCGCCCCACTGAGGTTGGCGCCTCCAGCTCCTCTATGCAGTGTCTCTTCCACTTCTCTTCAAGCCAACCTGCCATCAGCACTGACCAGTCCCCTGTCCAGCTATCTCAGGGCCCAGCCCTCCGCTCAGCTGATAAACGGACACAAGACAACCAATTCTTTCTCACAGGGAACAAACAGCCGACTTAACAAGAGCCTTCTAGAGGTCCAAGGTCTTGCCCAAGAATGTCCTTCTGTGGCTGGCCCCCGGAAGAATATTCAGGCGAAGGACTATCAGCTGACCGGGTGGAGGGAGAGGGTCGTGGCAGATTAAAATTACTGAGTCGATTATATTGGGTAAGGTTTTACCAGATCATTCTGTCAGGCCACTGAAGGGAAAGATATGCGCTTGAATTCCCCTATGTGTGTGTGTGTGTGTGTGTGTGTGCAGGCACCTGGGAGGTGGGTAGAGTTTAGGGGAAAGTGAGTTGGGCATTTTGTTAAGCCCCAGCAAGCAGTCCTCATGTGCTGTGAACAGAGCCTAGATGTTTTCTTTGCTTAAGGGGAGGGGTGTGATCTCTAAGAACATTTAGCTCTGCCGGTGATTGGAAGTGTGAAGAGTTGGCCAACCCTCTGGGGCCCAGGCCAGCAGGACCTGGGCCCAGGCACTGGCAGAGCCCAGAACTTCAGACGGCCAGCAGCACTGTGGGTGGGGATAGGGCAACTGTGTTTGTTGTTTTACCCCTTGGTTTCCTGCAGTTTGTAGTAAGGTTCCTTTTGAAATCCAGCCCCTCTTGGCTGTGCTACCAGTGCCTGGGATTGTTTTCTGCTTTTTCTGTCCAAACAAACCAGAAAGAAAATCATACTAATAACCCTGGTGCTTTTATGGTGCTTTATCACTTACAAAGTGCCGCCTGCACCCACCCTCCCAGGACCCCGTCCTGATCCTGGGCGGTCCAGGGGCCACCATTTCCATTTTATAGAGGGGAAAGTCAAGGTGTGCAGAGGGGTTTTGTTGTTGTTTAGTCGCTAAGGTGCATCTGACTCTTTGCGACCCCATGGACTGTAGCCCACCAGGCTCCACTGTCCATGGAATTCTTCAGGCAAGAATGCTGGAGTGGGTAGCCATTCCCTTCTCCAGGGGATCTTCCCAACCCAGGAATCGAATCCTGAGTGTATCCTGGATTGGCAGGGGAATTCTTTACCACTGAGCTACCAGAGAAGCCCACGCAGGGGGTGGTGACTTCCATTAATATAATGTCAATCATTGGTAAACGAAAGCGCTGGGACCTGAATCCAGGATAGCCCATGTCACACATCCTGTCTCCCCACCTGCCTGCAGGGCCGTGGTGGCAGAGGTATGCAGTGAGAAGTCTGGAGAGGAAGCTCCAAGCCCCAGCTGGGTCACTTCCCCCCCTCAGGGACTTAGAGAATTCTGCCCTTCATTTATTTAAGGGGTGCCCCGTCCTCACCCCGCCGCCTCTCTCCCTTCCTTGCCTCAATGACTAAAGTTCTTCGTGAAACTGTGGCCCAGATGCAGATGCCATGGTGGGGAAGACTACCTTGTGTTGGAGTAAGAGACTCAGGTTAGAGGCCAGCTTCTTGAAGCAGTCAGGAGCTCCCCCTCTGTGACGAAGGGAGGCTAACCTCTCTCTCAGTGGCTCTGTGTGAGGGGCTGGGGCATGCGTCCCTCCTCACACAGGGCCCGCCCTCCAGAATCACATTCCCTCCCTGAGCACCCGCCCCCCAGGAAAACCCTGACTTCATCCAGGCTTTGGGAAGAAAGTGCCAGAGGCAAGTAGACTCTGCAACACTGAGGCGTGAATGACTGACATTGACTTCCCCGGAGAGAAAGGACAGAACGTTCCTGGCTCAGTGGGGATCGGAGCTTGGAGCTGCCAAGGGAAAACCCAGAACTCAGGTTTCCTTGCTTTGCATTTTCCACTGTGTGGATAAGGATAAACCAGCAGATGGTCCTCCCAACTCCTCATTGGGAGGAAAAAAGCTCCTCAAATGAGGTGCTCCCGGACTAGTATTTTTCCTTGGCCGCCACACTCTTCGTTGCCCACTGCCTCCCACGTTAAGCCCCAGTTCCAGGGTCTGATGGCTTCATGTCTGCCATTGCCAGTTGAGGCTCCTCCTTCTTTGGAGGGAAATCAGGTCCACACTGGAAACCACAGCAGTAGAGGAAACTATTAAATGATGGATTCATGTGTCTGGTTCCCACCTGGACCAGGGGGTTTTTCTTGGTGGCCCAGACCCTGGGCTTGTGCACATGCCTCCCAACACCTGCCTTGCTCTCTCTGCCTCAGCCACACAGTCCTTCTTTCCATCCTCCAACAGAGCAAGTTCATTTGTTCCACAGGACCTTTGCACTTGCTTCTCCTCTGCCTGGAATGCTCTGGTCCTGCTGGACTGACTCATCATCAGACGTCTGCTCAAAAGTTACCTTCTCAGGGAAGGCTTCTTCGACCACCCCAGCCCAGTACTCTTGCCAAGGAGAACCCGCTTCCTACCTCCTCCCCACCCAGCCTCTCTTATCACAACCCCTGGTTCTTCGCAAAATATCTCTCCTCACCTGGGATGGTCCTGCTTTCTAGTTTGTCTCCTCACTTACCATGCCTTCCCAGCAGAGCCCTTGGCTCCTTGCTCCTGCTGTATCCCCATTAACTAGCATCATGGTTGGCACGCACTAGGTGCTCATGAGAGGTTGGGAGACATATTAGACCAGAAGTGGATCCTAGGGTCACATATGAGTGAATGTCGGCTCAGAAAGAGCGTGTGGGCTCCCCCTGGACACAGCGAGGAAACTGTACAGCTAGAATGAGACTCCAGCTTGGCCTCTTAGGGAGCCTGTGCTCTCAGGGTGGTGATGACCAGGATTCATGAGCTGCCAGCCCGACTCCTGCCCGCCCTGGACCGTTTCCTCATGAAGCCTTGGCCACGGCTGTGCTGGGGTCTGAACTTCTCACCCACAGTGCTGACATAGATGTGGCCAGCATGACGTTGAGCGCTGTGTGCTGGGACAGCTGGCTGCCCAAGGGATCTGGGGCTTTCTCTTTGATGTAGCCTTTTCATCCATCTGCTTATCTCTTGAAGTTCTGCCATCTCTCCTACCAGGCCCGGCTTCCCCCACAGCCTCCCCAGAGGGCCCCAGCCCGGTCCTCTAGGATGGAGGCTCCCTTCCTGGAAGAGTGGGAGGCCAAGAGCCCCACCCTGGGGAAGGTCAGTCCTAGAATCACGGCTTATCCCACGTGGGAGCTCCGCCCAAGGCCTGGCCACTGTCAGACCTTTAGGACAAAGCAGAAACACTTTAGAGAAGTGGTGTGTGTGCCTTAGTGAACTGTGTGCACACACAGGGGTGTGGACGCATAGATTGGGAGCCCTTGAGGCTGTGCAGAGCCTCTGCCTTGGGCCCCAGGGCTCTGCAGGGAGGAACAGAGCCATCATTTCAGAAAAGTAGTGCTGCATAGTTAAAGGGTAAAGGGTGGCTGCAGATTGCCTGGGTCATAGTCCTGAACTTGCTGCTTATTAGCTGACCCCAGGCAGGTCCCCTCATTTCCACCGGCTGTCATTGATGATTACATCTCATATGGTTGTTGTTGGGATTTAATGAGTCAAAAATACCCAAAAATGCTTAAACCAGTGCCTGGCATTAGGTGAACATATATTGGGTTGGCCAAAAAGTTTGCTTGGGTTTTTCTGTAAGATGTTACAGAAAAATTCAAACAAACTTTTTGGTAGACATATGAATGTTGGCCATTATTGTTATTTCAAAGTCCGAAAGAAAAAAAAAGATAGGAGATGTTCCTGTTCCCCTGAGTTGAGGGGCCATGAATGGGCAGAAAGAGCCATGGCCTGGGACACTGAAGACCTGGGTGTGCATCCTGGTTGGCTCCTGACAAGCTGTGTGACTGTGAGAAAGTTGCTTTCTCTCTCTGGCCTCAGCTTCCTCATCTGTAAAATGGGGGCAGCAATACCAGCTGTGTTAGCTCCTAGGGCAGCCACGAGAAAGCAGTGTGACTGGGGGCAGGGATGTGCTTCAGTGCCCGCCCCGTTGTGGACAATGGTTGGCCTTCTTGCAGACAGCCCACATTACCCAGGTTGAGCTTGGTGCAGTTCCCTTCGGTCACTGGACACTTGTACACGTCTCCTGTCTTCTGGTGGCCGTTGGTTTCCAGTGGGGCGCCAACAACCAACCTGGGAAGGAAAAGAAGACAGGTGAAGATGCTAGGGGAGGTCTTCCTTCCTGGCAAAGGATGGAATCTGCAGGGCTGTGTTGAGGGGAGGTTGGGGTAGGAAGGGTGGGAGGGAATCCTGCAGACCTTCGTCAGACTCAGATCTTCATCTCCCTGGGAGAGGGATGCTGTGGCCTGGCCAGGAGACACAGAGATGAAGACCACATGGGCCCAGCAGCAAATGGGATGGAAGCTGTCTCGGCAAGGAGAGTGCAGGGCAGACATCCTGGAGGAGGTGTGCTTGAGCTGGATCTTAATGGGTGAATAGGAGTTTACCAGATGGTAGGAGGGTGGTAATAAGGATCATTCAGACAGAGGAAGGATGATTTGGGATCTTAGCCATCTGCCATTGTCTCTCGGGGGCTTCATTCTTCATCTCATGTGACAGGCTTTCAGCCGGGGACCCAGGGGCTGGGGTACAATGTACAGTGTTCATGGCTGTCCCCTGAGGCACCATGTCTTTGCTTGGGGCTTGTGGGGGAGAGGCAGCCAGATGGGCTAAAGAGTGGCCAGGGGTGGCCACCCAACTGGCCCTTGAGCCTCTGTCTTTGTGACCTCATTCAGGGAAAGGCTTTTTGCAACTGTAGTTAAAGATCTCAAGAGGAGGTCATCTTGAACTACCCAGGAGGGCCCTCGATTCAGTGATGTGTCCTTACAGGAGACACACAGAGGAGAGACCCTGGGAGAAGAGGAAGCCATGTGAAATGGAGACAGTGCCAGGAGTGAAGCTGCCACCAGTCAAAGGATGCCTAGGGCCACCAGAAGCTGGAATAAGTAAGGACGATTTCTCCTAGACCCTTTATGGGGAGCAGAGCCCGCTGACACCCTGTGAGAGAGTAAACTTCTGTTTGGGGAAGCCATATACTTTGTGCCGACTTGTGATGCACCCCCTGGAAATTAATGCATGTTGCTCACATGCACATGTATTTCCAGAGGAAGAGCGGCTACTTCCCCCTGACCTGGCCAAGCCCTGGCAGTGCCACCATCCCTCGAGTCCAGGGAGAATTCCACTGCAGTCTGGATGGCCCCGGCCCTTCCCTTAGAGCACCCCCCAAAGTCCCCTGTATCCCTCATCCCCGGCCCACCAGCAGGCAGCATCTTTGGACATGGCCCAGAGGGGCCCACCAGCAGGCAGGCAGAGCCCTAGTGCAGACAGGAAGCAAAATCCTTAAGCAGGCACGGTTTCCCTTCAGCACCACCTGCCTCTGGCATGTCTGGACCCCTTTAGGCTTTGGGTGCCAGCCCCTCTCTCGGCCACCACCTGCCTGCTGGCTCGGGTCCTGGTGCTGACAGTGACCCAGAAGCTCCCAGGCACAGCTGCGCTGTCCTGGCAGGAGATGCCGTGGCTCACACATCCCTGGCGTCTTCCAGACCCCGAGGGCCACAGAGGGCCACACAGGACGCATCGGGAGTGAAGAGACCTTTCTGGAGCCCTGCTCTCCCAGCAGCTTCCCACCCCTGGCAATGTGAGCCAAAGAAGCAGCAACTGCTCATTTTCTGGCTTAAGATTGTTGAGAGGGATGGACATGGAGGTTCGGGTGACACAAGACTTATGTGGCTTCTTGTAGTCAGTTATCGCCCTGCCCGCCTCTCACCCGCCACTCTGAAGAGAGAGAACTAAGGTCCAAAGTAGGAGTTAACAGAGCTCTGTTTGAAATTAAGAGTCTATGAAATAAGAGCTGAGGTTTTCCCCTGGGGACCAGATAATGACGGATTCTAAATATATCCACTTATTAAGCATGACTATTTTTGATTGGCAGGAGTTAATTGGACTCATAAAATCTACTTGTCTAGACGACGTGATACTTGGCCACTTAATTCTGCACGTGACTGTATGGTCAAGGCTGCTGCATTTTTTTTCCAGCCAAAGAGACGGAGAGGTCAGTAAACAAAGTTTCAAAGTTTGGGCTCCAAGCTTGCTTTTCTGGCTGCTCCCATTTTCAAGGTCAACCTGGTCTGTGACCAAGTGTCCCAGAGGGATGTTCCGTCTGGGAACATGCTTTTCTGGAAAGCATGCCTTCGAGGAATACAATCAAGCAGAGCAGGTTCTAGATTAGAAAAAACAAAACCTGGCCATCTAGAAAAGCGGTCCCTGTCCTGCTTGAGAAGGCGGACTCCTCACAGCTCTCCCCATTTTACAGAGTGGAATGCTAAAGCCCCATGGACAGCTTGGTGGGCCCCCACTACAGGGCAAGATCTTTGGGCTGAGATTCTAGGGGTTGCTGTGTGGCCTGGAGAAGTTCACTGACTTTGGTTTTCTTGGCTGTGAAATGTGTTAACAATTCCAGCAGTGCTTACCTCCCAGGATCACTGTGGGGACTCACAGATGCCACACGGCATCGATGAACAGGAGTGGGTATAACTAGTAACCTCCACACGAAATCTGGAGCCTTCTTAGAAGTCATCTGTCCTGGAAATGGCCAACATGCAACTATCTTGGTAAATACACCAAGTCATCATGACCCCAAATTTGCCTGCAGATGGACTCTGTCCTTTTCAAAGAACAAGGGCCACCCCCTACCTCCCAGCCCCATTCTCCCAAACATGATTCCTCTGGGGTCCTTGGCACTGCATGATGCAGCAGGACAGGGCTTACTGTCCTCATAGCACAGATGCAGAAACTGAGGCCCAGAGAGGTGAGCTGACGCAGGTCCCATGATCTGTTAATGACAAAGCTGGGACTAGTTCCGGGGCAGTTTTCTCTGTGTTGCCCCAAATATTTCTTTGTCATGAAGGAGGGGGGGCCTGGGTCAGCCCTCTTTGCCATTCTTGAGTCTCGGCATTACGTGTGCCCATCAGGCTTGAGGTTTTGAGAATATGATTCAGTCTCACTGGCGGGATAACTGGCGAAGCGCAGGGGAAATGTTTGCGTCACCCCCAAGACCAGCCAAATTGCTCCTGGGGTCTGGCACCCCTGCCGCTCCGGCAGCCTCAGCCTTATATAGCTATCTGTAGCCTCAAGGCCTGTTGCGCTTCCCAGGGGCTGGACACCCTATACCCTCTGGCGTGGGCACCAGATGGCAAACCCCAAAGGTCGTGGCAAGCATCAGGCCCTTTCCATGGGCCACATAGTGTGACTCATGGGCTGTGGGCTCCCAGCCTTCCTCCCATGGAGGCGGGGAGACGGGCTGCTCAGAGGGGAGGATTGGAGGCTGTCTTCGGTCACAGACCTGGAGGACCCCTCCCTGGGGGTGGCTTTCTTTTTATTCCTTATTCTTTTCTGGTTGCGCTGGTCTTCCTCGAGGTGCAGTACACTGGCTCTTTGTTGCTGCATGTGGTCTTTCCTCTAGGTGCTGTGTCCTACCCACCGCCCCCGCCCCACTGCCGCTTCTCACTGCGGTGACTTTTCTAGTTGCAGAGCATGACTGTGAGGGCTTCAGTAGTTACAACTGCAGGCTCAGTCATTGTGGTGCCCAGTCTTAGTTGCCCCATGGCGTGTAGGATCTTAGTTCTTGGACTAGGGATCGAACCTGTGTCCCCTACATTGGCAGGCAGATTCTTAACCACAGGGCTGCCAGGGGAGTCTCTGGTGTTGCTTTCTAAGCAGGGTCTTGCCAAGGGAGGGGCTTACTATGGGGATGGCCACCTGAGGAAGGCAGGATGCGGCCTTGCTGCATGCCAGGCCCCTGGGATCCCAGCAGGACATGGCCTAGGAGAAGGGGCCCCTGGATCCCTACCTCACGCCCTCGCCAACAAAGCCTGATGGAGACCTCAGCCCTGGTTCCATCCTTCAAGGCAATTTAATCTCTGAACCTTTTACATGGACATGAGTTTGAGGAAACTCTGGGAGTTGGTGATGGACAGGGAGGCCCGGCCTGCTTCAGTCCATGGCGTCGCAAAGAGCTGGACATGACTGAGCAACTGAACTGACTGAACTGACAGGGGAAGAAAGGTAACACGGACCCCCAGGGCGTGTAAATTTACATGTCAATTACACCAGTGCACAGCTGTCAATCTGTGTACTGAACATCAGTAATCCTATTTTTTCCAGATAAAAGACAAACCTAAATAGAACTAAATAAAAATAGTCATTTTATTTCTAGGCTCCAGTATGCTGTCCTGTGCATCCCCTGTGGGGTGCAGACCCCACCTGGAGACCATCCCTTTAAGACCCAGCACAAAGTCCCATCTGCTCCAGGAGACCCTCACAGGTTACCCCAGGCTTTCCCACATAAACCAGCCTGAAATGCCTGCTGCCGGCTGTGGCCAGTGTTTTAGCATCACAATTCCTTGGGCCCCATCGCCCTCATCTGCCCTAGCAGACCACCCTGCTAGGTTGGTCTTGAAGCCCAGGGTGAAAGGTCCCCAGGGACTGATCTGACCTTTTGTCTGACAGTCTACAGCAGCAGCAATTTCGAGAGTTTTTGGTTTTGCCTCAGGCCTAAGAGGGGACTTCCCTGGTGGCTCAGTGATAAACAATTTGCCTGCCAATACAGAAGATGCCGGTTTAATCCTTGGGTTGGGAAGATCCCCTGGAGAAGGAAATGGCAACCCACCCCAGTATTCTTGCCTGGGAAATCCCATGGACAGAGGAGCCTGGGGCGCCACGGTCCATGGAGTTGTCAAAGTGTCAGACTAAACAACAACAGGCCTAAGAGGAGCCTCCAGATGCGGTGCCTGGGAAAAAGGCTGCTGAGAAATTGAATGCTTTCTCGCACAGAGGTTCAATGACGTGACCCAGGTCCCATTAAAAGTCAATATTGTTTACTTCCCTAGTTTTCCATTTCCATTTTCCCAACAGTCCTCATTTCTATTTGTGGATCCAGGAAAGCTGGCTCCATTTCTGGTTGTAGGGACTGAGCAGATCCTGCAGGCCAGGCCAGTGTTATCCTTGGACTAAAGTGGTTGCGTCATGGCAGGTCAGTGATGTAACTCACCCAGTCTCAGTATCTCCTCTTAGGCCTTAGGGACCAAAGTAGTCCCTGTTCTCTGGATGACATGGTGTACAGATGCAGAACTGGA